ATGAAGTCACGAACATGGGGCCAGTTGCGCCATGGGCAGCCCGCAGCGGGGGCAGGGTCGAGTTTTGGTTCGCGCAGGACGTCATTCTGCTGGACCTCCCGGGAGTTTCGGAAAGTGGCGGCGGATACGCAGCTGGCAGCCCCCAGGCAGGACAAGGTCTTATCTGGTTCTTGCGTAATTCGGACATCGCTCCGCTGGACCTCCCAGGAACTCCCCAGCGTGGCGACAGTAGGCGAGGTCTAGTTTGGGTTATCGTGGGTAGTCGCTCCGCTGGACACCCAATGAGCCCTCAGAAGTGACGACAATTGCATGTTTTGCCTCCCCCAGGGATGGCGAGGTCCAATTTGGGTCCGCGTATGACGTCACTCTGCAGGACCTCCCATACGCTTAAGTAGAGCCAGGGAGGGCGAGGTTTTGTTTGCTTCCGCGTAGGACGTCGCTCCGCTGGACCTTCAGGAGCCCACCAAAGTGGCGACAGTCAAACAGTTGGCAGCCCCCAGGCAAGGCGATGTTCAGTTTGGGTCCGCGTAGGACGCCGTTCCGCTGGACCTCTTAGGAACTCACGAACGAGGCGGCAGTTGAGCAGCTTGCAGCCCCCAGTGATGGCAATTTCTTGTTTGGGTCCGCGTAGGACGCTCCGCTGGACTTCCCCGAACCCACCAGCATGACGACAGTTGCACAGTTGACGCAGGGAGGGCGACGGGCGATCTGGAGACGATGCCGATCGCTTTCCGACAAGGAGTGTAGATAGGAGGGGGTGGATGAGGTGGGGGAGGATGAGGACTTTTGCTCGATGCGCGAACTTCGCCGTGCCAAGCCTGGAACGCACGCCCTGTGCCATGGGCATTCACCCAATTGAACGAGATGGGGAAGGAGGAGGAGGAGGAGGAGGAGGAGGAGGAGGAGGAGGAGGAGGAGGAGAGGCAAGGATGGCCGCTCGGCGTGCGGCTTGCGATGCCGACGAGGCATTCTCGTTGCTGCCCGGGGGCGGCCGGCAAGCCGAGCAGACCCCCGCGTCTGGCGTCCATGGCCGGCTCGCCAAAAAAGCCGGAGGCCGACGGTCGCCTCCCACAGCCGGCAGAGACGCCCGCCACAGCCGGTGAGAGGCGGGTGGCAGTGGCGCTCTGTCTCACGACACGCCCCGCGGCACCTTTCGCGAGCGCCCTGGTGCTGTCGCGCGAGTGGCACCCGCAGGCACTGCCTCTGCGAGGCACCGCCTGCGAGGCACCACGCTGCCGACCACGTGCGATGGCACTGGCCAGCCGCGCCGCAGCGAGGAGGCAGGTGCGCTGCCCGTGTGCCGCTGCGCAGGCACCGAACACGACACATCGAAGAAGAAGAAGAAGAATAAGAAGAAAAAGCAAAGAAGAAGAAGAAGAAGAAGAAAAAGAAGAAGACACGCTGTAAGCATAAACTTTTGGCGCTCCGCGCGGATGTCTTGGATCTGCACTGGAGCCCCCCAGGCGGCGCCTCCGGCGCCGCCCCTGGCGGGCTCCGCTCGCCAAGGAGGGGTGGGGGTCCAACGCAGGTCCAAGAAATCCGCGCGGAGCGCCAAAAGTTTATGCTTATGGCGTTTTTCTTCCTCTGAGCGAAGCTTGCCACAGAACCTGAGCAGATCGTGCCTGCCGTCCCGCCCGGGAACATCAGCCGTCGGGGCAGGAGCGGCAGTTACTGCTGCAGAGGACGCGGCTGCGTTCCTGCTGTGGGAGGGGCCGCGCGTGCGAGAACGGGCCAGGGAGCCGGCCCACGCACTGCGCTAGATCGAACGCCCCTATCACCCTCCGCCTTGCAGCGGCCTCTTTAGGATGTGGGAGAGCGGGCGCTCTTCCGAGCAGCGGTATCGGCTTCGTTGCTGCCGAGCCAGAGGTCGCGGGCGCCAGGGCTGAGGTCGTCGTCGCTGGTGCTGGCATGCCCCTTGACCTTGTACACCCACACCTGAAACTCGAAGTTGTCGAGTGCATCCCAGAGAGCCGTCCACAAGTCAGCTGCGACCCGTCCTGAACGGATGGCCTCCCGACGCCTTGGGGTGAATGCGGAGGCCATTGGCAATCAGAGAAAAGCTGAGTCAGCCAGTCCGCGGAACTTCAGGCGAGCAAGGAGGGCCAATCCTTCCGCAACTTCCGAATCCTGCACGCGCCCTGGGACGAGCCCATAATTGTGCTAGCGCCATGGCCGTACCCGCCGGAGTCACTTGAGCGAGGCTCCAGCCAGCACTTCTCAGAAGGGGAGCCCCGTGCAGCAAAGCACAAGCAGATCCGTCGCCGAAGACATCACCCTCGGCAGCAAGTTCCAGACAGCAGAAGAAGAGGAAGCAAGGTTACGCAGGAACTTCCGAGGGTCGGGCACAGCACCGTGCCGCCACAAGCGCTAAGGGCCTGATGGAAAGTCATAGGCGCGCCGCCACGCGCGCGTGGTGTCACAGCAACCCCCTGCCGCGTGCTGAAGTCGGGCCGGACGAAAGGGGGGATTAGAAAAGGGGGGGGTACGAAATTTGCTGCATGCAGCTGGTTTCGGCCCCACGGAGGGGCCCATTCTTCGATACATAGCCGCCTCCGGCGCCGGGAGGCGCTGGGAACATCAGCTATATATATATATATATATATATATATTTACACGCAGTTTCTCATCCCCCCCCCGTTGCTATCCCCCCCTCTCGCCCGACCCGATGAAGGGTGCCCGCCTCGCCGCCGCAGACTGGACGCAGCGTCGACGCCTGCAGCCCGGCGCCGTGGCCCCGCGGCCGGCGCCGGCCCGGACGAGCCCTCGGCGGGGGGCGGGCTCCGTGCAGCCGACACCCTGCCGGTGGCCAGCGCCCGCGGCGGCTCCGCGTGGGGCTTGCGAGGGAGGCCCGCCGTGTGCGGGTGCCGTGCCCGCGCGCGCGGGAGCAGCCAGGAGCGTTGCGGCGCTGCGCCAGCACGGCGGCGGTCTCGGGGAACCTCTCCACGAGGTGGATGGGCAGCCCTCCGGGCGCAGCGAGGCGGTGCGGGGCCACGCCCTGCCCGTCACGCCATGGCCGTGGGTGCCCACAGGCAGCTGGTCCAAGGGGGACCACCGTGTGCCCGCGCCCCTTGCGCATCACTCGAGTCCTGCCTCCGTGACGCCTGGCCTTGGCTAGCCAGGCATCGCTGACCTGGCCGTATGCCCGCTTGCCTCAGGCGAAGGAAGAGGGGGAAGAGGAAGAGGACCTCCCCTTCTCTCACACTGCCATCTGGCCCCGCTGGCCCGCCGTGACTATTCTCCTCCACCTCTCTGTGCCTCTCTCTCTAGGGAGAGGAGGAGGAGGAGGAGGAGGAGGAGGAGGCGGAGGAGGAGGAGGCAACGGGTACCGCCGAGCCCGCTTCCCTGCGGGCATAGGGAGATCGTGTGCAGCCCCATCGAGTACGCGCTGAGCGGCGTCTCGATCATCCCCCTTGTAGTCAACATCGGCATTTACATCTAGGGCGAAGAAATCTGCGCAGTGAAATTCGAGAGGGCAGCGGCCACCTCTACCCCATACTTAGTGGTTCTCATAGCAGTCCTGTGCGTTGGCCGAGCAGTCCTGTCCCGCTCGGTTCCTTCGTAGGATATGGGATACGTGAACTGAGCGGTTCTGTGCGCTCGCTGAACCGTTCATTGCCAGAGGTTGGAATTAATGCCCCTGCCTCTAGGAGTGCCTCCTCCTTCCCTCCTGGGGACCCCGTCCTCTCCCTCCTTCTTCGCACCATCTCCTCCTTCACCCTCTCCGCTCTCCGAGCTCGTCCTCCCCCCTTTCCTCTCGTCCTCGCTCTCGCCCTTCCCCTCCCCGCCGAAGGTCAGCTGGTCTGGCCCGAAGGGGCTCCTGTTCCGCACCTCGGCGCCCCGTCCTGAAGCCCTCGAACGTCTCTGTCCCCGAGAGGGTACGATGCAGCAGCCTCGGGCCCAAGCGGTCTGGCTCCCCGCTACGTTGGCTCCCTGGTTAGGAAGCCGGGCTCCGTACACCGACGTTTTTTCCAGCCGTGCGCTGGACTTTGCACAGGAGGGCGGATTTTGGTGTATACAGGGCCCTGGTGTATACATGTTTCCCTGTTTTTCCCCGGGGAACGGATAAAAAAGTGTACGCCACACCACCCCGACGTCGTTCCAGACCCTCGAACAGTTCTGGGATTGAAACACAGCCCGCCACAGGCACTTGTTAATGTTCCAGCTTCCACCTGGTGGCAGCAGGCCCCAGAAGAGCCCGCGTGCACCTTTGCGCTTCCTGGGACTCACGGGGAGGAGGAGGAGGAGGAGGAGGAGGAGGAGGAGGAGGAGGAGGAGGAGGAGGAGGAGGAGCAGGAGCAGGAGGAGGAGGAGGAGGAGGAGGAGGAGGAGGAGGAGGAAGAGAGACGAGGAGGAGGAGGAGGAGGAGGAGGAGGAGGAGGAGGAGGAGGCGGCGGAAGGCGGCGGAATTGGTACGTTCACCTCTTTAGAGTCGGACAGAGTTTGCGAGACGACCCCATCTCTCTAGAGGGCTGGGTTCCAGCATATTCCTTTCCATATTGCTTTCCTGTGCACAGCTGACCTCGGGGAGGTTGCCTCGGCCCCCCGTCCAGTCGGTTGGCTTCGGCGAGCTGGCCTCGGCAGATGCGGCGCAACCCGCGTTTCGAGATCGTGCCGCGGCATGCCGCGACGCGTGCGCAGATGTCTCAGCCCGGAGCGTCCGGTGCGTCAATCCAAACCAGTACGCGCTGAGGGCGGAGCCGTGGGGCACGGGCCTGCTTTGGATCGGTGACGACTTCGTCGAGGTTGGCACCTCCGAGGTGGGTGCCATCGACGGCGGCGAGATCGTACTGCCGGCGGCCAGCGGAGGGCAGGACGGCTGGGGAACCCTCTCGCTAAACGTCGCTGTGGACAACTCTGCGGTCTCACCCCTTCTCGCGATTGGGCTCAGCTCGGAGTTTCTGGCGAACTTCGAGCTCAAGGCAAAGATCCGCGTCGTCCCCGACATCCTGGGCGTCCTCAGCGTGGTGCTGACGGATCTCACGGTGAACGAGAAGTGCGCCATGATGGTCCGGCTCTCGCCGACGCAGACCGGAGACGTCATCTGCAACAGCTCTTTCGAGACCTTGCGAAGACCCGACCCCATTGGTACCACCACGTTTTCCCAGTTCGCGTCCTTCACCATACCCGATGAAGAGATCACAAATGGCGAGCAGAAGCGGGACATGTACCTAGATATCGGTTTCGTCGTGAGTCTCGTTTTAGGGTTTTCTGGATTGGCTGCCCCAGCGGCTTTTATGCTCTACGAGCACCGCTGCCACAAAGATGTGCATGCGGAGGTCCGCCCCATCAAGAGGCCAGCGAGCGAACCGGAAAGCAGCAGGATAGGACATTCGCAGCCGGACGCGTGAACAAGCATGCGGTCCAGCTGCCGCAGAGCAGGGCAGTTTTCTATCATCCATGATGGATGTGTGTGTCTCCCGCTCCTCCGCCTCCCACCGCACATTCGCTTGCTATTCGTCCTGGCCCTGCCCTTCCCTCCGTCTCCGCTTCTCCGCCTGGGTTCTAGTGACGTGCTATGCGCAGGCATTCCGAAGCTTCCTCGGCGCAAAAATTTGGCAATTTCTGAACGGGGTCAACCGTATACATACTGAAGGCCAGTGCCAAGCCATGCCGCCTCATGCCGGACTTGTGGACTTTGCAGCACCAGCCCTGCTACAAGGAAGGCCTGCTCCGGTTTGAGAGTGGTGTTAAATGTCCTACGCAATCTCGCCGGGTCAAGATCCTGGGCAAGGGGGGGGGGCTACCTACAGGCCTTCCTGCGGAAATCGCTGGCCAAGCGCGTGATTCCGCGCGTGATTTCTGATCGAGCGTTTTGTATACGCGCGCGTTGGACTGTCCGTGCTCTATTGTGCCAGGTCAGCGCGAATTTGCCACCCCGCCAGCGTTCCAAACCTACTCCTCCTGCCTCTGCTTCTGGCCCCAGTGCCTCGCAGTCGCTGCCGTCCTCGCCTCTTGCCTTCCACACTCCTCGTTGTCGCATCGTCCTCTTGTCTTCCACTTAATTCAGGAGGGAAAAAACACACAGACACAAATAATCGCCGATTCCCAAGAAAATATGGGAAAATATGGGAAGAGGGGGGGAGACAAAAACCCAGAACATATGGGAAAAGATTGGGAATCCTGTTATCCGTAAGGGCTTCGCCCCATGCTGCCGGTCCCCTGTCTCGGATAATGGGAAATGCAAAAGCTAAATCATGAGGTCTGGGCGCCGCCGTGGAGCAGTGTCGGGACCTGTTTGTTTTTCGAACCTGACCCTGCGGATCTGCGTCACGGGTGCCACCGAATTTCAGAAATGTGACAAATCCCTTGTGTTTTTTGGACCCTGACCCTACGGATCTGCGCGAGGGGTGCCACCGGATTTCAGAAATGTGGCAAATCCCATGTGTTTTTGGACCCTGACCCTGCCAATCTGCGTGACGGGTGCCACCGAATTTTAGAAATGTGACAAATCCCTTATGTTTTTGGACCCTGACCCTGCCGATCTGCGTGACGGGTGCCGCCGAATTCCAGAAATGTCGCAAATCCTTTGTGTTTGTGCACCCTGACCGCGCCGATCTGCGTGAGGGGTGCTACCGGATTCCAGAAATGTTGCAAATCTTTTATGTTTTTGGACCCTGACCCCGCCGATCTGTGTGAGGGGTGTCAGCAAATTTCAGACATGTGGCAAATCCCATGTGTTTTTGGACCCTGACTCCGCCGATCTGCGTGAGTGGTATTTCCGAACTTCAGAAATGTGGCACGCCCCCTTGTGTTTTTGGACCCTGACCCCGCCGATCTGCGTGAGGGGTACCACCGAATCTCGGACATGTGGCAAACCCCTTGTGTTTTGGCACCCTGACCCCGCCGATCTGCGTGAGGGGTGTCAATATTTACCCACCCCAGCAATTCAGAGCATACGTTTTGGCCGTGGTAAACATGCCCGTTTTGGGCCTCCCTCCCTCGCGCGGTCCATCAACAAGGAACAGTCAGCAGCAAGAGGCAGAACTGCAACAAGGCACAGTCAGCAGCAAGCAGCAGAATCGTCACAGTGGAAACCGGAAGCTGCAACTGGTGCAGGAAATTGCGAACTTGCGCCCTACAGCCTGGTGGCCCCGCAAGGGGGACGGCGGATTTGTGTCTATTTATTTGTGTGTCCCATGGCCTCTTGTCTTCCACCCATAATGCAGGAGGGGACAAAAACACACAGACACAACTAATCGTCGATTCCCCAGAAAACATGGGAACATATGGGAAGTGGGGGGGAAGACAAACACCCAGAACATCTGGGAAAATCTCTGGGAATCCTGCTATTTCTGTCTATTCATTTGTGTGTCCCAGAGCCTCTTCAGTAATTCGCCCCCTCCTGCTCCTCTTCCCTCCCTCTGCGGTCCTCCGCCTCGGGCTCTCTCTTGTCCGTGCCCGTCGCAGGCCGCCCCCCACGAGGGCCGCAGCTCTTGCAGGGCGGACAGGGCAGGGCAAGGGGGGGGGAGGAGGGCTGGAGGAGGAGCTCCTCTGCCCCCTCTCAGGCCTCCTCGCTCGCCAGCAGCTGCGCCTCGCGAGGGCGTCAGCCTCCTACCCTCTCGGAGGCCTCGCTCCAGCCTAGGGATGCCTTGCAGCAGCTGCGCCTCGCGAGGGCGCCCGGGGGGTGCCCGGGTCGTCCCGAACGGCTGCCGGAGGCGCGAGCTGTGACCCAAAGCCAGAAGACTCGGGGGTGGACAGACCTCCTGCCCTGACGCGTCGATTAATGAATTGGCCGTTTGCGGTCCGCGGGGGGGCGTCGCGGCCGTCATGTCTGCGGGTCCAGGTCCGTCGGTTTCGGTCCCAGGCCGTTTCCATTGAGGGACAATTTACTAAAGGGAGGTCTGTCCACCGCCGACCCTCCTCTTTCGACGCCTTTTTGGCGAATGTTGTCACCAGGCAGTAATTCATCCCTTCGTCCCCCTTCTACCTCATCCTCCCTGCCCCGCTCCATCCTCCGCGATTTATCCCCACTGCTCCTGCTCCAGCTGCTGCTGCTGATCCTCTTCGTCCTTCTCTTACTCCGCCTTATCGGCCTGACCGCACTCAACCGTAGCCGTCGTGGCTCCATCCATATTATCATATGGGGTCGCGCCAGCATTTCCCGTGACACTGTACTCTTTGCTTGCACCATTGGGCTCCAAAAGCAAGTCCCCCTTGCGCTTGGAATGTGGGGGAATCCGACCAGGATGAGGTGTCCATGGGGAGCATGAGATGGAGGAGGAGGGCGCGGCGGATGAGGAGGAAGAGGGGAGGCACACGAAGGATGAGAAGGAGACGAAGGATGGGGAAGGAGGAGGAAGCCACGGATCATTTAGGAGAGCACCAGGGGAAGCAGGAGGAGTCAAATTGAGAGGTGAGCCGTGAATTGGTATTGGTGGTTTGGGCCGGGAGTGGGCGGCAGGGGTTGCGAGGAGCAAGCAGCGCATTGGAAGCGGCTGTCTTGGCACAATCGGGGGCTCTTCTTTGTCACTGGTGTTCGCGCCACCGGCACGGGTACCTCGCAACGGGTATGCTTGCAGAGCGCAGAGCGCAGGAAGGTCAGGAAATTTGCAGGACAGCGCCGCTTTCGCGCGGCATCGTGCGTGAACGTGGCATGAAACCGCCGTTTTCTTGCATCGACCAAAGTGCCCATCTGCTGGGCTGCGTGCCCATCAGGGTGGCGCAGATCATTCTCCCCCCTGGGTGGAGAGCAGACATCTCCCACGCCGGTTGACCAATGGGGTCGGCGATTCTTTACCTGGAGGTGTCCCCTCAGGGTCGAAGCACGGGGGCGAGCGCGAAAACCGCAGCGATGGGAGTCAAGGGCAGGGGGGGCTATGTTGCACCCTTTCATCCTATTCCTTTCCATCCTTCCCGTCCCAGTCTTACCAGCCCACTTCGCAACGGGATTTGTTTTTGGAGCCCGTCCATGGCCCACATGTTAATGACCCATCTGTTGGGAGCATTGCTTCTGACAGCGCCATCGCGTACATCTGGCTTATCACTTAAGGATACATGGCAGGAGGATTTGGACCCGTGGGTGAGAAATTGCAAGGAGAAGGCGAACGCGAGCCGGAGGGATGAATTAGAATACGGGCCGTGCTTCGATGAGGAGGAAGTGGAGATCGCTATGCACAGAAGTTCCCTCATTCAGGGAGACGCACTGTCTGCCGATCCAGCACAGAAAGCTGCCACATCGATGTTTACTGAGGTCGACATGTTGTGCGACTCCATTCCTAGACCACTGTCCGACCGCGACGAGCGATTGGGCGCTGGCAATCCAGCGTGCCGCTACGAGCCATCTGAAGTTATGTTACAGTATTATGCTGAGAACCCCGCAGACATCGCCATCGTCATCCCAAGCAACTATGACAAAGACCGCAACGTGTCCGACAACCCTGGCGACCATGACCCATTATTTCTCGGCGTGCTCACTTGGAAGATGTATGCTAAGTACCACGATTACGCATTCTACAGCGGCCCGCCCGAGATCAACTGTCCGGAGCTTGAGGAGCGGCATCCAGCGTGGAACAAGCCCTGCATGGCCATGCAGCTGGTCGAAAAGCACAAGTACTTGCTCATAGTGGACAGGGACACCACGGTGATCAAGCCGCGCTTGCGCTTGGAGCCCCTCTTTGGCATGGCCGGTCTGATGGGGGACAAAGCCAACAAGGTCCTAGCCGTTGCTGAGGAGTGGGGCTCTTGCAAAAAGGGCGTCCGTTCTCCGCTGAGCGGCGACGTCAACACCGGTATAGTGCTTGTCAAGCAGTCTCCAGAGGCATTGGATGCGCTAGCCACTTGGTACCTCGGCCCCACCGTGTGCCAACATGTCACCACGGAGCCGGTGCAGAGACCTGTATGGTGGCCGTTTCACAGCCAAGAACCTTGTCAAGGATGCAGTTGCCTCACGCATGCTGCCACCGAGTGGTCTTTCGACCAGGTCGGCTTCTATGCCAGCGTTGCAACCAATGACTCTTTCAGCAGTATGGTGACAGTTTTTCGTTCAGGTTGCCCCATCAACAGCCCGTTCGCAGATTTCATTCCCCATCTGGTCTCAGGAACTCCGACTAAGAAGGCCTACGACGTCAACCACAGGGAAGTCATCTCAAAGAATTTGCATGACTGTAACAGCAAGTTGATGGATGCGTTCCCTGGCGATGGCAACCTCTACGAGCGTTGCTCAATATGTGACGCCTTGCCTCAAGGTTTTCACCCATACAGCGAGTCATGGTCCTCCTCGTGCCGCAGTCATGACCAAGTGCCAGAGTCACGCGTGAGCAAGAGGGTGAGCACGGTCATTTGTGCACAACCGCCTTGTGTTGTGCCTCGATGATTTCGTGAGTTTAGTCTAGACTCTAGGCCCCAGTCGATAACATCGGCGTTTCGGTGTAACCAACATCTGGCCTCAGTGCCTTCATGGTCATCACGGGTGTCTCTTCTCTCTCGTCCCCGCATTCCCTCGTCTCTGCGAGGGGGTGGGGGTTGGGCTGTCCTGCCGCCGCGCCATCAGCTGATCATCGTGGGCGATACGCATGGCCAGCTAGAGGATGTGCTGTGGATGTTCTTCAAGTACGGACCTCCATCTGCCAGGAGATCGGGAGCGGAGATGTGCGGAGGACGAGGGGTTTTGGGGGAAAGAAAGAGGAAGTGGAGCAGGAGGAGAGCAATGAAGAACTGGAGGAGGAGGAGCACGACGAGGTCGAGTGTGACAAGGACGAGGTGGAAGACAAGGAGGGCGAGGAGCGGACCGGTGTAAACCCAGGATTCACGCTCGGTGCCGCAGGTCAGCATACCGTGCCAGGCGCGGCTCCTCGCAGGTACCGACAAAAGCGTTCCGGCTCATCGCGGGGAGGGCCCGCTGGGAAGGGGACCGCCCTCAATGGGCCTTTCGTGGTGACGGTAGCCCTGATTTGAGAAAAGGGAGCCGTTCACAATGTTTGCAGCTGTGAGCGGCAGGATTGGGCTCCTGAAGTTTGAGGAAGTGTCAGGCGACAGCCCCATCTCGAAGAGGAACCTCTCTCCACCCGCGCAGAGCCCTTGCTCACTTGATCCGGCGGTGCGTACAATGCGAGAATGCTTCCGGCGAGGGCTTTACTTTGAAAACCACCTCGCCTCCATCCCTGCAGTACCGAGCGCAGAATGTCACGGTCATGAAGAGGTCATTGCCGAGTTCGGCGGGAGCCCTCGAGCCGTGCAGCTGCTACACATCTTGAGGTTCTGGTGTGAAAACGGCGTAGCTCATATCAGCGAGCACCCGGTTTTGAAGAGGAGCCGCCTTCCGACTGCCACCGTGGTGTTGGTATAGGGAGGGCGCCAGGGGGCCTGCCAGTGGACCCCCCTCCCCCCGTCACCCTCTCGAAGAGGCCTATACCGTGTCCCCCCCTCCCTCCGCTCCCCCCTTCCACGGCGGAGGGGCCACCCCCCCCATCCTGCCCCCAACTTGCGCCGGCGCAGGGAGGCCCCCGCTCCCCCTCTGTGGGGGGCGGGAGGGGGCGGGATTGGGCGTGCTGCAGCGCATGGCAAGGGGGTGTCCAGGTCTTCGTGGGCCCTGGAAACGGCAGGGCCGTTTTCTTTGCTGGTTCCGTTCTGCCGTTTTTTTGCCGGTTACCGACGCCGTTTTTTTACCGGTTCCGTCGCCGTTTTTTGGCCGGTTCCGGCTCTGGTTCCAATCCTGGAGCCGTTTCTTTGCCGTGGTCGCCGTTTTGTTGCCGTTTCCATTTTCAAGGGGCATTTTTTGGGGGAAGCGGTGAACAACGGCCCTGCCGTTTCCGGGGCCCACAATCGTCCGGGTGGGGCGCTCGGAGTATCCGGGAGAGCTGCGGTCCGGGGCAGCTCCAGCTTGGGCCTCCGAGGCGCGGATGTGTAGCTATACCCCTGATCACCCCCCAGCCGCGATGGTTCGGGAGAGTTGGGCGCCGGAAGTATCCCGGAGAACTGCGGTCCGGGGCAAGTCCAGTTTGGGCCTCCGAGGCGCGGATGTGTAGCTACCCCTGATCATCCCCCAGCCCCGATGGTTCCGGAGAGTTGGGCGCCCGAAGCATATGGGCTACCTGCGGTCCGGGGTAACTCCTGTTTGGGCCCCCGAGGCGCGGATGTGTAGCTACCCCTGGGGCAACTCCGGTTCGGGACCCCGAGGCGCGGATTTGTAGCTACCCCTGATCATCCCCCAGCCGCGATGACTCGGGTTGGGCGCGCGGAGCGCTACCTGCGGTCCAGGGTAACTCTGGTTCGGGCCCCCGAGTCGCGGATTTGAAGCTACCTCTGATCATCCCCCAGCCGCGATGATTCGGGTTGGGCGCCCGAAGTATCCTCGGTAACTCCGGTTCGGGCCTCCGAGGCGCGATGTTGCAGCTACCCCTGACCACCCCCAGCCCTGATGATTCGGAGCTCTGACGCTGCATGTAAGGCGCAAGGATCGAGGATCGAAGATTGATCCTCGATCCTCGATCTAGGGGATCGGTCCTCGATCCTGGATCAGAAAGCGGAGTGGTAAGGCTGCCAGGCCGCCAGGCCAGCCGCCC